CACCTCTCCCTCCTGATCCATGCTATGATTGACAGAAAACAAGGTATCCGCTGACCAGTGATACGTGTCATATCGCGGGCTCAGGTCAAGAACTCGTGTTGTTTTGGAATTTGACCGCCGACCTGGTACTGGGTTTTCGATTGGATCGCGGGCTCAAGCCAGGTTATTATTTTGGGGGAGAGGAAGGGTGTACATGCAAAGGCAAAATTTCGGCGCAAATTAAACCCTGACGCGTTGTTGACTTTTCTTCCGACATATTCCTTGTACAATCGTCTCATGGAGAAAAAATAGTGAAATCACATGCTGCACAATCACATGCTCACAACTGATCATTTTTTGAGTTTCTGATCCAAGAAAAACAAATCCCCTTTTCATTTACGGTTAATTGTAATCAGGAGCTACGCTTTTAGGCTTGGCTAAATCTTTATATTATGTTCATACATGTAGTCAGTTAAGCAGAGGTCGTTTTAGACTCAGACGGGCTTGGTACTGAGCTGCGCAGACTTTGAATTGACATACATAGGCCTGATTAGGAATAGTGCAGAGGTTATTTCTAAGTTCTACGGACTTGAAACTAAATTCAAAGACCTTGCCTTTCAGTTAGAGCGCGGCTTGGTAAAGAATATAAAAAACGCGTTGGTCCAGAATCTAGACCATGTCAATGTAATTTGAACTCAAAATCCATTAAGCTAAACCAGGATAAGCGAAAATTTGATTTCAGTTTTGTAACTATTCGGTGAAGTTTTCTATTTATATTGTTTGTTCTTTAGCTTTAAGCATGAGTCGTTTCAAACTATACACGACATAAGCAGTGAAAGACATTTTTATTCAAGAAAAAATTGTTACTTCGGTCATCCTTCGGTTAACTTTTAATCCTGGTTTAGCGTTAACCGGCTACCGAACAAAGCTGCCCTGAAGTATATCAGTATATTTTAACTGGGGTATATTACAGCATGAAAGGGAGGCTGGTATGCTCAGTGAGTGTGTGAAACTTTGGGTCAACAGATTCGCGTATAAAATTTTGTCCAGGGCGCGGTTGTCGTGTTTTGTTCTTGCACAAGACACTTTCTGAAATGTAAATTGGTACTTGCGAATCGTTGGAATCGTTCAAAGTATACGTTATTTAACTTAGCAACCCATCGTGGTGGAGTCGCAAAACTCCACTATCGTGATATCTAGATTGAAACATTTTGTCAATTTAATCTTTTTCACTGAAAACTGTCAACAAGAAACGTCATGTCTCGTAGGACATAGTTAATAGAGGGAATGGTTTCACGAAACAGACCAGGCAAAATCAAAGGGTGGTTATGTGTGCTCATACAACTTACCAATAGAAGCGTTGCGATTATGTTATTAATGTATAGTCAATGAGCATAAAACAAAAGATGTGCAGGATCAAGGACCTTCCAACATAAACCTTAGCCTGTTTGGTTGCTTCTTTGATGTTTACCGGGCTTCTTGGCCATTTCACGCTACTAAGCACAGTAGCGAGAATAACTGAAGTGGAAGAGGCTAGTGGCAACTGGAAATTTTCTGTGACTGGCACAAACCTTACGCGTCTTGGTAACTTTCTATGTTTTCCTCCCTTTGGAAACAATATAAACATCCCAGTCATCTATCAAAACGATACTTAAGAGAAACCTTTAATTCATAATAGCCTAATAATTTTACATTGCCGGATAACATTTTAACCTAAATGATTTGACATGTGAATAGTATGTACACAATTCAATATTTTTAAACTTATAAAATTTTCGTACAAAAATCGCTAAAATCTGAATTGCGAAATTAACTCAATTTGCAGGTTTTTTAAACCCAAATACAGAAAGATATCTGGTGCCAAATATTTGTACGACGTCCATTCTTGGCCACCATACTGAAAAATTTCCTGTCAAATATTTTTTTCTTAGGAGGCACATTTAATTAACCATCCACTTAATTTGAACCACTCGGCTACATCAAGAAACTCCTGGAATGAAAAATAGCGAGTCCAAAGGAAAGCTTGAAGATTTAGAGAGGATGCGGTATTTTGGATGAAACCTTATAACTGAAAAACTTGATAACACCTAACCAAAAATAAACATCCACAAAAATATACAAAAAAATCCTTAATCCCTGTTGAAATTAACAAATCACCGAGGAAATATTAACTCAAATTCTATTGCTCAAGTCTTGACTTGTTCATTTCTTCCACTTTTCATTCTGATTTGGCGAGAATGCCGCCAGACTGCGTGTCTTTCAGGGCTTAAGTTAGTTAATTTACATTAGGAGAATTCTAAACACGACAAGAGATGTTCAAATTATAAACAACTATCATTGAAATTCTAAGAGTAGTTTTAACTGACTATCCAAAATAATTATGTGAGCCTTAAACTTATGATTGGTGAGCTAAAAAAAATTGGATTCGCGACCCCTGACCAATCACAGCCAATCAACGCTTACGCGTTTTCCCGCGCTTAGCGCCGGTTCCATGTGTTACCTCTAGTTTTGATTGGTTCATTGCGTTAGAACTGTTTGCTGTGATCGGCGAGATAGAGCGGTTTTCAGTTGAGTATCGTAACACCAAAACCAAACCAACTACTTACCAATAAGACTTCACATCAAATCTCAAACTGTAGTAAAACCACTACCGAAACCAAGGTAATTGCCTGATTACTTTCGAAACTCACTTGAAAACTGCTCTTGTCATTTGACAGCTGTTCTTACTAACTGCCGCCAATCATGGTTTCCACAATAACAGAATATTGCTAAGTAACATTATGAACTCTTCTTGTCGTATGCATAACCCTCTTTTCCAAAAAGATTCCTTTGTTCTTTAGTAGTCGCTATGATTGACGGGAGTTATAAAAACAGCTGCTGAGCGTCGGTTTCGTTTTCGAATGAGGTAATTACTGCTATATACACTTGAAATTAGCTTCGAGTTTCTCATCATTGTTGACTTTTGGAATGTTCCTGATTATTTTTATCTCGTGAATCATTCTTTATCTAGTGAGTCAAGTCAGACAGTCGCTAACATCAGCTGTTGGAGTAAAGTTTTGAGTAGAACAACCTAACCTCTAACACAATAACATTTCCAGTTTTGCATTTTAAGCTACACTTTTCCGTACTAATCAGACCTTTTTGGTTGAAATCTCACGAACTCCTTTCGCCATAACACCAGTTCTACGACGTTAGTTATTCAAGCGCGTGCTTGTAGTCTCAGCTCCGCGCAGCCATAATTACGGTAGCAACATACTGAATTGGTTCTTTCCAACATTCCCTGGCCTGCTGTATCGCGTTACTGGAGCATCTAAGATCTTTTATTGTCAATAAACGAATGTTTCCCGTTAAAGATAAGATAGATCCTTAAGTCCCTCTCATTCCTCACATGATAGAAGCTCCTGAGGAATCTGCGTCCAGGGTCTTGAGTCGTTTCAGGATTGTTTCGTTGAGTTTTTTGCGGTCCCGGTCGACTTTTTTCAATGTCAACATTTTTTTCTTTCCTGTGTCCATCATCCTACAATAAAGAAAGATTTGTAGCTCAGATTAAAGAGACGTAACAAAGTTAAAGAGAAAAAAAACTCTACAAAAAAAGAAAAAAAGACTGCCACAGTTCTCTTATGACTAATCATTGCTCACACTAGAAAGACACAATTTTGCAAACAAGAGTGATATTGCAAGTATGTCAAGCAAAAACATCGGAAACTGCCCTTCCATGACCATCTACACGTGCTGCTTTTTTAAAAGCAAAAAACAGTTTACTCCTGTAGCCATATTGAGACCTTTTTTGTTTTCGAAATAAAATTAATCACGAGTTTCTCAGTCGACAGAGTTAATCAAAACTGAAAACACTCACGACACCTAGAATACTTTAAAAATACATTTGACAAGATGAGTGCATCATAGCTCATGCTTGCTCCGTTCCATCCCGTCCCGTCTCGCGTAGTCTCAGTATATTTACACATCACTTACTTCTCAAGTAGTTTGGCTACAACTTGCGGGTTGACTCGACTGTATTTACTTGTTGTGGAGCCGTGATCAGCAAAATATGTCGACCAGTCTGCCTTTAACAGCAAGTCTACCAACTAAGGATAAACAGAAAAAGATATATTTACCATTTTAGACTGCAAACAGTTCATCTTCTACAAAAAGGAGCGTTCACGGTAAAAGACAGAAGCACGGATAAATGAGAAACAAGAAAGAACAAATACTCAGGTACAGCAAGTCATGACACGGTACCTGTCTGAGTTCCAGAAATGTCATCTGTAGTGTGCCGTCACTGATACCTTCTACAGGATTGGAATTCACGAATTCTGAAAAGCCATGAAGAGAAACAGGTCAACATAATTAGAGACGTTTTTCAACAAGAGAATCAAAGCAAATACAGTCAAACCCTTAGTAAACGGCCACCCTCGGGGAAATAGGAGGTGGCTGTTTAATAGGGGCTAGTCACTTAGAAAGGGGTTGGTGTACTTTGAATATTTTTTTATCATCGGGCTAATTTCTTTGTAACCATGGAATCATGATCAACGTGTGTTTGAATGTTTTTAGCAGTCGTCCCTTTTTATTTTGGACTCTTTTCCGTCGTCGCCTTTTCCAAGACAAAGCTGAACTACGTGTATTAAATTTGGGGATGGCCGTGTAAGGTGGCTCAAACAGTTTCCAGCAGTTAGATTTGGATGGGTCGTTTTAACCATTCTTTATCACTTGATACTACAATCATGGTATCGAAAACTCCTCAATCATCGGTGAACTTGTTGTTATCATTTTCGTGACACAATAGGTTACCATAACAACTGTATGACCTGCTAAAACTACCCTTGATTACAGCTTTAGGGGCTTATAATTCAAAAACGGTATGGTGGATTTTTTTATATATTATCAAATTTTGATATGCATGATAAGACGCAATTTTTGGCAAAGTTTAAAAAAATTCTGTACATATGGTTTAGAGCCACCTTAAATTTACAAAACTTTAAGGTGGCTCTGAACCCTATGTAAAGATTGTAACGTCTACACGGCAGCTATGTGGATCGCTGCCGTGTAGACGTTACTTTAAAATTATCAAAAAACGATTAGGTTTCTAGTTAAACTTCGGCCCTAAAACTATACCTTCACACTTCCTAATGTCCTGGTTGAACCCGTCCAGACCATTCGAGTTCATCTGTTTCACCTGAAAACACAAAGAAAAAAACAAAAAGGTTACTAACAGGTAAATTGGCAGAAGTATTTACACTAATCCAACACGACCTTCTACGAATCTTGAAGCAATAGCATCAAATGCAGGTTGAATGATCGAGATAAGCCATGTGCAGGTTTGATTGCTTTCTGTGTCTGTCGGACGTGCCGCGGTAATCAATAACTGCATGGCTTTACTTGAAGGACTTCAGTCATGGTATTTTGAGTCAGTTAATTTGGCCCCGTAAAAAAATTGTCTTTAAATGGGAGGAACCCTGAAAATAATAGTTTACCAAGATGGAAAAGCACTTAAGAAAAACTAATAAACCATAAAGGAACAAGGATGGTTAAGGATGGAGAAGATTAACACGGATTACAAACGACGAACTTGAGAAATTTCGGCTAAACGTAGCTCCTTTAACTAAATAGATGACGCTCGTACCTCGTCGTCCAGTAACATCTCTCTGAGCTTGGTGGCTAGATATTTACACGAAGACATACACGCCGTCTGTGCCACGTTACCCTGCCAACAGTCAAATAACACGGGTAAAATGAGGTACACTGACCTAACTATCCAAATAATCAAAACAAGTCAAATGTTTGGAGGCGGCGCGGTTAAATGGTTTAGGGCGCTGGATTTAAAATCTGGAGGTCCCTGCTTCAAATCCTCCACCCTACCGCTATCTATGGATTAGTTCTCGGTAGCCCCGAGGTTCAACTCCTCGACCGCCTTGTGTAAAAAGCCAACTAGCCAGCCACCCACCACTTGGGATTCTTAACAATTTATGTTCTATTTGCAATACTAGTTTAATTATTTACAGTGTCCCAATAAGCACAACACTGCTAAATACACTTGACACTTAACTAGAGTTATTTAATTTTATTTTTTAATGAATGGGGGTCGAGCACTTTGCTTCAGGTGATCTTGTCAAATACAAATTGCAGTTCGACGTTGGTGTTAGGTGACTGTGGTTTATGACTTGCGTGTATGGCTTCAGGTGTAGGTTTAAAACAGCCGTTAAACGGTGGAAAGGAGACCATAAAACCCTGGCGACTTACCGGGAGTGTAGAGAAGTTTAAGAAGGTGGTATGGAGATACTCCAACAGGTCCACTAGATAGCTACTGGCTTGCGATCTGGAGTTCGACGGAACCCAATTATAATTGGCTGTAAATAAGGAAACATGAGAATGAATTTAATAGTGAAATAAATGCCTTCAATAATACTAAAACCTTATACATCATGTTATAGTTTATAACAACAGAGAAAGAACCTGCACAGAGAGCATGACAAGCTGCCGAAGGTTACGAACTACCTTGAATGCTTCACGTTTTACTGTTAAAGGAATAAAAGCTATCGAAGGAAGACCGAGTACCCTTCAAGTGTTAGTTATTTTCTGTATACGCACCTAATTCTAAAAATTCTTCTATTTTCATGTTGAGTCTCTCATAGACTTGCTGCTCTGCCTCGGCTCTCATGTCCTGGTAAAATAGCCCAGTTAGTTACACCACTAGCTCATATTATGAGAAAAGAACAACCCATTAGAAAAAAAGCAAACAGTTTCATTTACTGCAAAACCGAAACAAACCCCTACCGACTAAAACTGAACCTTTTCCAGTACAGCTCGCCTCTCTACCCACCACCACCATCCCCTCCCCTCCTCGACGCCCTTTGAAAAGTCCTTAAAACGAAATAACACCTCAGCGGATTAAATAGAATTTAACTGGTACCGATATTTTACGGGTAATAACCGCACTCACCTTGAATGACGACAAACCATAAACCCGAGAAACGTTTATCCCTTCATTGGAAGTGCTAAGATTAAAAAGAACCATAGCAGGTCGTTATAACATTGGTATTGTTGTTATGTCGCGGTGGTGGTCAATTTGTAGCTAAGAAAAGCAATTTCCGTCAAAAAGATCTCCTCACCCTGTCACAATAGTAACATACTCTTCAAGATGAACACAGGCCGCCTCTAAATGAACTGTGTTGATGGACATTTGAACGAGCTGATTGAAAGAAATAGTTTTAAAAAGATAAGACATTATTATTGCAAAAACCCATTTCCAAGTTGCCCCAAGAGTCTCTATCAAAGTGAGGCCCGTTGCACAACCATTCATGTGAAAATGAGTTTAATTCGCATGTGAATGAAATCTCATTTTTATACGAGAGGATGGGCAGCAAGACTCGCTTTGAGAAAGAGGCTTAAGGTAATTCGGAAATAGCTTATTGTACTGACAAAGCTAACGTTCAAACATCAGATTCTTTTAACCAAAAAGGAAATTAATCTAAACAATAATAAATACAAATTAATTAAGAAAGATAGACAAACCTGTGGAATTGACATTGTTGGTCTTCTAATAATGGATGTGATGCAACCTAAACCAGGAACAAATTAAAATTTGATGCTGAATGGCATGGTTAGTCTTATTTATTTTCAGCTTTTCATTACTGATGCCATAATTTTGATCAGATACAATAAACAAAATAGTCCTCTACGAAAAACCCACCATTCAGTGTTCTTGTTAGCAGCAAATTTGTTGACTTCCTCACTGAATCTCCAATTTCAGTTTGACTAGGGAAATAATTACATACCATGGGCTCAGTCTTGTTCACATGATACAAATTAAAGGGATGCTTCTTTAGATGAGATAAACAAACTTATGAAAGATCAAAGTGGTACAAGACTGTCTAACTCTGATGCGGTTCACCAGCTTTCAGAAAAGATTGCAAGTACAAGCAACACATTTACTGTAGTACCTGACATTAAGGTTTTCATTGAATTTTAAACACGACTTGATGTAGTGTTTGACCTGTGAAACAAAAGAATCAAAGTTAAGGCCCACTGGGAAGGTCTTACTCGTTAAATGATAAATGAAATGTAACTTCTTGTTTGAACGACAACTTAGGAATAAATTCCAGTATGTACCTCTTGATAAACTTTAACCACACCTTCAGAAAATGGAAACTGCCTTGGAAAAGGATCCTACAGAGACAAAAATTACATCATACAATGTACATTCATTCTGCATACAGTGTTACACTGTTATTTGCAGCTGACAATGATGGAGGCCTGAATTTCAGCCTGAATGCCACTGTTAAAGTCAATGTGAACTAAATTATTGTATGTGTCAGCACCTTTGTTCCATGTATCTCTGTGTCATCAAATGGAAATTCCCTCAGCAGATCATTGTATTCACTCTCATCTTGACAGCTCATTGGTGCATAATTATCTTCATCAAAAATTTTCCTTAGTGGGGCAAAACAAAAGGGTCAGCATGTGCCAAGTCAATTAAAAGCATACAGCAAAGTCTCATGTCTGTATACATTATGATAATTATTACTATTTGGTATAATGCTCCCCCAAAGACGTTTCTCAGCATTTCACTGGTTGTTTAAACTTGGACAATCATTTGGTTTAACCTTGTTCTTTTTCCCAACTTTATTCTGTCTATAGAGATTTTTCATCTATACATGTACATGACTTGTATATGTTCACTAGTTAAAAAAGAAATAATTAAAAGTAGTCTTTACATACTTGAATATAGCTTCCCAGTCCTTTGATAAAATTTCATTGTACTGATGCCTAGTAAAAAAAAGTATTTCAAAGCTCTTGTTCCAATAATTATATACTCCAGAAAGAAAAATGTACATGTAGGTTAACTCTCATGTGCCAGGCATTGAACCTGGTTTCCAGGGACAAAACGACTCTTACATGTTGAGCAGTATCTCTTGCATAACTGTATAACAGATCTACACTGTTGTACAATTTCCTTTTGTTAAAGGCCACTTTAATATGTATGGCTAATTTACTACAATTTTAAAGCTCACCTCATTTCAAGAAGGACATCAAAAATTTTATTTACATTAAATCCAAAACCCTAAAAATAATAAATGAAAATTTTTATTTGCATCAAATGTAAATTTAAAAAATGGAAGTGCAATGTAGATATGCACATGTACAGAACACAATAATAAGATTCTTAGACAGGTTACTACTGTATACTACAGCTATAATAACTACAGCTGGACCACACAAACAAACAACATGTTCTAATCTACATGCAAATGTAATGCTTACCGACAATGTGTGACAAAACCACACAATGAGTTCTTTTACTTTTAAGAGAAGTGAAGGCTCTTCACAGTAACTCTACAACACAACAGAGCATATTAAGTAATTTGTGATGTTTGATTAAAACAAATTGAGTGATATTTGAACAGCAGAGTACATTGTACATCAGTATGAATTTAATTCATACCTCAAGCATTGCAGGGAAAAGTATAACATTCCTTGCAAGAGCAAGATTTTCAAATTGTCCACTCCCTGTTCTCTTAGATGATTCCTGAGGAATCAAAAATAATAACTCTTCTTACCGATTGTGTACATGTGATGAGCACAGGAGCAATCTTGTTTGCTGCCATTTCCCAAAGGTCATCAACTGTTGATCTGTAAGTTGAAAAGTACAATCATGTAATTTATCAAAAGGCTTCAAATGCTCTGAAATTACCTCTATTGTGGCTTGGATAAAGAAAGCAAATTAAATTCTTTTGTTTTGTTAGTTGTTACATGAAAAGCATTTCTTGAAGAATGATTAAAACATACCTTGGTTAAGGACTTTATAATTTCAGACCAGGTTTATATATTCACAACACAAGATTAGAGGCACTTGATTGCTGACATTATGTTTGACACAATAGGACAAAAATTTCCAGCGCAAAATTTTACCCACCCAATTTTAGAAACGATTTGCAAATCTAAACCTCACAAGGTTTTTCTTTATTTCTGTTTCCCCTGCCTGCTTACTTTGAATCTGGCAAGATGAAAAATTTTTAATTGCAGTTTGTCACACCACAACACTGCATTATGGAGAACAATACTACGCAAATAACAGCCTGCAGGTCAGAAAAGTATCCTCCTCGGAACTTAAGCCCCAAAAGCTTCTTATTCCTAATATGTCAGTGTTGTGGACAATGGTATTTTTCTGTCAACAGATTGAGTAAATATAAATATATTAATAAGGGTGTGATACCTTGTTACTAAACCCTTGGTTGTATGCAGAATTATATCCTCAACAACAAAAAACCTTGACACAAGGAAATAAAAATAATTTTTTAATTCATTTGTCAATGCAGCTGCAATATAAGGCAATATAATTATGTTGTAATGATTATTTATCACTGTTTACTTGATTTCAACTAATTTCAGCTGTAACATAAGGCAATGTAATTATGTAGTAATTAATTATTTATCACAGTTTACTTGATTTCAACTATAAGCAGCTCATTTTCTGCTGGTTTGTTAACTTTTTTTCCAATTTTTCCCTCATCAGTAATTATTATAGACAAGGGGTAAATTGAAAAACAAAATAACTAACTCAAATGAAACAAGCCAAACATAGTTGAAATCTTAAATTAACTGAGATCAAACATTAACTAAAACATATTAAATATTAAGGACTGGCTCAGTAATGATATTCCTCTTTGCAGCTGGTTTAGTACAAACTTTTCTGAGCTGGTGTGGCTTTGGTTTGGAATACAGCTTGCAAGTCAGTAAAACGTGTAATAAAATAAAGCAAATTGCTGGAGCTGTCTGTGCATAACTAAAAAAAATTTAACCATTAATTTGCTCACCCTACAATTTGATGAAAATAAGATCTGTAGACCTCAAGGCCTCCATCCTGTTAAAAAACATGGACTTAATAACTATTGATTATGGTTAATAGTAATTCTTCCAGAACTTCCTGTTGATTTAGTAAGTGATGGTTGATTGATCCAATTGAGAATACAATACAAAACATTTCTTCTAGTTTGACAAGATTCTCCTTTGGGCCACCCATGCTTCGGTCACACACATGGATGGCAAAGCCACAAAAGCAAGTTGACAAGCAAACCGAGTTAATTTAAGTCAGGGCAGTGAAAAAGTGAGCCTGCTATGATGTCTGTAAAGTTTTTTATTTCTACATTGTACTTTGCCTGACTGAAGTACATGTAATATACCATTTGCCAGGCAAGTAGTAAGAAAAGTCAGAAATTTTTTCTGTATTTTTAACATCAATTATGACCTATGATCTCAAAGAGATTACATCCAGACTGAGTTAAATATTAAATAAATCTCTTACATGTAATTGACCACTCTCCCAATGGGGTTTTCAGGCCAATGGAAACAAATGATGAAACAAATAACATAGAACATTTCTTCTTTCTAATATATCAGTTCAGTTTTCATTAATGTTTTAAAACACAGTTGCTGTCTGATGAACACCTACTCTAATTCCATGACTGAGTTCCATTGCAAGTCGAGCTTGTTTTCTTCTTTGTTTCCTGTAGTAGTTATCAAAGGTTTCTCTTTCTCCCTATAAAATTAAATACAAATACATGTGTTAGTAATTAGTTTCACAGCATAATTAGTTTCACCTCACGTTGTCAAAAAATTGTAAACTGACTTATCTCAGCAACTTACAACAACAGTGAAAATGTATAAACACTTGTAGACTGGAGAAAAATCCACCAAATCCTGAGCAGATTTGTCCAACTCCTAGAAATGGAAATGCATATATGAATCACTCTACTTATAACATTAACCCATGAATGTATAAAGTACTGAAATGCAGCAACAAGACCAGTGAGCTTTGCCTGAGCACTTGATTTACTTACTTACATACACTGTGAAAGAGGCAATAAACAGTTTGAAAGGACTACTGCTCCCTTAACTCCTCAAAATAATTTGTCTGGACCATGGCTCAATGATAGGAGATCAAAAGCACATTCACTGAGATGGTTAATTTAAACTGATAGCATTTGTAAGGCTCAAAGTGACTTATCATAATGAACACCTATGGACTTACTTCGTCCTCTCCTTTCTTCTTCAAACCAACTCCATGCATCAGTGTTAGGTTGTTCTTTTGTATTGCCTGGGCAACAATAAAAATAATTTTCATAATTCAAACTCCACAATCTCAACAGAAGCACACTGACTTCACTGCCACAAGTTCTCATGCTGTACCACTTTTCAAATTGAAAAGGGAGGACTGGCAAGTCCTTCAATCAAAAATTGAGCTCAGAACCAGTTGTACAAATCTTTGCTGTCCAGCTGGCAAGGCCTTTTACATCTTTCACTTCAATAGTAATTGGTTACTAAAAACCATTTTAAATTGAGTGACTAATAAAGTTACTACTACTACTACTACTACTACTACTACTACT